TCTTCTTTCATTTTCTGTTTAATACACAGCATCCAAAGTGATTTTTTAAAAAAATTATTTGTTTGCATCTAACCATATACATTGTGTTTTAATTATGTTTTGTACATGTACTTTGTGTTTTTATAATCATTCATATACATTATATTTTATGTATTTAATTACCATTCTTCATAACTATTATCACCCAGTCTTTTCTAGTATCCACTGAATCTCTCCCGTTACTTCATCCACCACTTCATCCATGATCCTCTGTTATCCAAGTTATTTTTCCACATAAATCATGGTATATTCACTGAGAATGATTTTTTTAAATGATAAATTGATCTATTCCCCCAATGCTTTGAAATGAACTCTTGAAATTAATCTATAAAAATGAATTTATTCTATAGTAAAATAGTCTAGAGAACTGTTGAGAGTTGCATTTACATTTAAAGATATCCAATATTTTTTCTTAGTGTGGTTAACTGGCAACAAGTCAATTCCAACTCCTGACAACTCTGTGCTCAGAGTACAATTACATAGTGTTTTAAAGTATGTGACTTTTTAAATGTAGATTGTGAGGAGTATCTTCTGAGCCTACTTTGACCCTCTTTGTATAACCAGCTAATAGTCTTGTAGGTTGTTGTTGTTGTTATGTGCCGTCGAGTCACCTGCGACTCATAGCGACCCTATGTACAACAGCCCTAAATTCCGCTCTGTCCTGTGCCAATCGCACTGTCTCTGACACTCCCATCCCAATTATCCCAGTCACTGAATCAATCCACCTCATAGAGGGCCTTCCTCTCCTGCGCCGTCCCTCCACCCTCCCAAGCATGATGTCCCTCTCCAAGGACCGGTCTCTCCTCACTACATGTCCGAAGTAAGTTAGACGGAGCCTCAGAATCCTTGCCTCCAAGGAGCCACCCGGTTTAACCCTCTCCAGGACAAATCTATTTGTTTTCCTAGCAGTCCATGGTATTCTCAGTACTCTTCTCCAGCACCACAGCTCAAAGGCATCAGTTCTCCTTCTATCCTCCTTGGTCATTGTCCAACTCTCTGATGCATAACAGGTGATTGCGAAGACCATGGCCTGTATCAGACGCACCTTAGTCTCCAGAGAGACACCATTGCTCTTCAGTACTTTGGAGAGGTCCCTAACAGCAGACTCTCCCATGGCAATGCACCTTTTAATTTCCTGGCTGCTGGTGCCAAGACTGTTGACTATGGAGCCAAGCAGTCTAAAGCTGTGTACAATCTCAATCTCTTCACCATCCATCCTGATGCTGCCGATTGGTCCAGTGGTGAGAATATTTGTCTTCTTGACATTGAGCCTCAATCCATATTGCAGGCTGCAGTCCTTGACACTCTGCAGCAGGCGCTTCAGGTCCTCCTCAGTTTCAGCAAGCAGGGTTGTGTCATCCATGCTTAACCCTTTTATTTACCCAGGAACCAAAACCATTATTATACAAGAACAGAAATGTTATATATAAATTAAAAAATAATATGTATCTGAGCATATGGTAGCTTAATGGATAATAGCAGCCTGAAAGTTTGTTAGATAAAATTTGGGAAACGTGCATTTCATAATGTGCTAGATGAATTCTGTAAAATTATTAGTCTTATCATATTTTATTTTATCTTGAGGATTCATTGTAAATTTTAAATCTGTATCATTTGCATCCTTAGTTTTCCTTGATGTCACTTTTCAAATCCTTGTGACTTGAGATTGTATTAAAATAATGCTAATTTTTTTATTTTAGATGGACCTATTTTGAAGGACTGTATTAATATTCAAAGTATTGCAACTTCCTCAATTGTTACACTCTATTTTATAAACATCGGACATCAAGTCAGTTGGATCACAGTAAGTATCAATATTTTAAATTCCAAATATTATTTCTATATTTTACTAAAACTCATTTATTCTTACACTTTCAAATTTACTATATACTGTTGTTCATGTTTAGGCTGATAACTGGACAAAAGAAATTTATAGTTTAAAAAAGAAATAGAAAAATATCTTAAAACTGGTATTCAAAGGACAAATACTGCATGATGCCACTGATATTAAACAGGACTGACGTGAGGGTTGGGGGGAAATAAGAAAATAGAAGATAAATAATGAGCACTACATTGAAATAAATGAGGAATAGAACTGTCTAAACAAAATATATGATTTGATATTATTTGCATGGCAGTAGTCCAGAATGAGAGACGCATAGAGGGCAGGAAGAAATTGTGCAATAATGAAAGAATCATTTTAAAGAGTGAACTGGGATGGAGTAGAGTGGAAAATGTACAGTAATGAATGAATGGAACTCCAAGTTTTCTGTAAACTCTCATTAAAAATATCATTAAAGTAAAATAAAAACACAAAACCCCAAACTGGTATTCATACTGTGAGGACTGGCCCTATGATTTCTCTATACTTTGAAAATTTATAGCTATTGTTTAATGCCTTTGAGTAGACCTTATCTTTTACACAACAAATGAAACTTTGCTGTTTCCTGTACCAACATCACCATCTCCACTCTTTCCAAGTTCATCCTGGTAGTCATTGTCTTAGTCCATATCCTTGAAGGTTATGTCTTTATTTCTCTGATCATATCTGGAGTAGCCAGATTCTACAGAGGTTTGTTTTCTGGTTCTGGTGTGGATTAAGATTACCCATGGTG